AATTATTCCCTTCAACGTACACATAATCCATCTTTCTTAAAATCTATAATAGAAAATTCCAATTCACTTAATTATAGGCCTTCTCCACATGCTTAAACACCAGCACTGCAGGGATCTGTTTATTCTTCTCAAGATAGTCCAATAAGCCTATAATTTGCCTCACATTATCTTTCATATATCTGCCTTCTATAAGTCCTACATAAACATAAATCAATTCTTAGATAACTGGCATTGATATGTTGGATAATAGTTTTACAAAAATTTATAATCCATATTCAAAAGAAATATTGGTCTAAAACTTTCTAGTTTTGTGGAACCTGCTTTTTTTCTTGCCTTGTGGTGCCTTGAAGCTCTGCTGTTGTTGCTTTTCTGGAATTTGTTTATATGCTATTCGAGTTGTATGCTGATCTTTAACTGTGGAGGACATTAGATCAAGATCCACAGCCACTTTTCTTGTTTTTTTAAGTGGTCCAGCTAAAACCTTTAAAGGATAATCCAAGCGTGAGTCATCCAAAGAGCCCCCTGTATTTCCTTGTATTTCCATTGGCTCCACCTCCATCTGCTTCCACTGGACTTTAGTCTTTTGTTCAATTTGCTTTTCTTTATCTCCCTCCTGTATTCCTGACGCTGACAATATACGTGGAGATGTTGGGCCAATTTTAAAAACATTGCGATAAAATTCTTCCGCTTTTTCAACAGTATTTAATCGATATCTTTCTCCTTTTTTTTTTATTGCAAAAGTTTTACAATTACATTTTTACCCCACTTTTCCCCCCAACCCACCCCTCACTCCCCACCCTAACGCCCCCAAACTCCTCCTAACCCTCCCCCTGACTTCCACTGAATATAATCCCATCAAAATCCCTTTTTTAATAAAACTTGAACCCCTCAAACCCCCTTATAATTTTTTCTCTTCACAATTCATACATTCATACATTTCTATTTTTATATAATACTTTCAGTGAAAAGCTATTTGATACTTCCTAGCTTGATATTTATTCTGCACATAATCTATCCAATTTTTCCATTCCCATACATAAGTCTCTTGTGAGCGGTCTTTTAAATATGCTGAAATCTTCGCCATCTCCGCAAAACTGGCCATCTTTAAAGTCCATTCTTCAATAGTGGGTAGAGCTTCATTTTTCCAATATTTACCTATCAATAATCTTGCTGCTGTTATCATGTACAATATCAACTTAGTTTCATCCAATGTAAAACCCTTTACTATGCCCAATAGAAACAATTGTGGAGAAAAATGAATTTTTTTCTTCAACACATTCTGCATAACCCACCATATTTTTATCCAAAAAGCCTTAACTTTCTTGCAATTCCACCAAACATGGTAATATGTAGCATCTAAACAATCACATTTCCAACATTTTGGCTGAACATTGGGATACATACAGGATAATTTCTTGGGATCTAAATGCCATCTGTAAAACATTTTATAAAAATTTTCCCTCAAATTCTGCGATTGTGTAAAGATATCTTTCTCCTTGATACGTCAATCTTATGCCAACTGGGACATCCCATCTGTATGGAATCTGTTGTTTCTTTAGTTCAATCACCAAAAATCCAAAATCTTTTCTGTCTTTTAACATCTTAGGCGGCAACTCTTTGTAAATCCCAATCTGCCTTCCATCCACTTGTAGGGTAGAAACAAAAAACTTTTGCAAGATGTCATTTCTTATTCTTTTATCTGTAAAATATATCACTACATCTCTAGGCAATTGCCTTTGTCTTGCTACCCAAGAATTCACTCTGTAAATCTTATCAATTTTGGACAAAACCTCTTCAGGGCTAACCTTTAACATCACAGCTAAAGCATCAGCACAGATCCTTCTCAAATCTCTGTTATTTTCCTTTATCCCCCTCAGTCTTACAGCAAATTCCATAAATTTAAATTGCATCATTGTAACTTCATTTTCAATCTTTTGCATTTTATTATCTACATTATAGATCTTATAATCAGCTTCCTTCATTTTAGACTCTACTTCTAAGTTGGTTTCTTCGATTCTTTTATCAATCTGAAGAATTATTTCTGAGAAGCCACTCAGAACTGTCAAAAAATCTCGCTTCATCTTATCATACCTTTCTTACACCAGTTTCTTAGTTTCCTGTTGAAATTTCTCAAAACTTCTGGTCCATAAGCACAATAATAAATTCGTTCAAGTCTTTAAAATCAGTGCTTAAAAACTGCTCTTGTAATTTATGAGTAGGGGAACCCCCCCATACAGCTTTGTTTTCTGGCATTAAAGCCATTCTGCCACGCAGACAGACTCTTTTTTTAAGGAGGAAATCTTCTCTCCCTTCTCACCAGCACAAAATCCTCTCAGAATTAATCAAGTCTCTAAGGGAGATAGAACATAAAGACAGTTTGGAAAAAAAAACTTTTTCCTTCTCCTCTAACCAGCGCTCTTATTTTAGATACTTTATAGCATACTGAAACTATCAAGCAAGTCCACTTTCGCTTTCAGCTTTGTTTTTTTTCTCCTTTCAAGCAGCTAAAGCCGGGCGCCATTTTAAACCTTCATTCTTTCTTCAATCTTAAATCCAATCACAGGGGTAATATATATACTTGCAGTTTTAGATTCCAAATCCGGATTTCACTCTGTTTATTTTAATCCTTTAACTTTCACTAATTACGTTGGTTGCGCCGTCTGGCTCTGCAATAAGCAGAATTCCCCCGTCGTCCGGAACCTCGGCGAGCTGGATAGGGAGCCTCATCCTGCTTCCTCTCCAGAGGCAAAAAAGACACTCTGGGGACTTCGCAGGGGCTCTACCTGCTCTCGCCGGCTCTCCTCACGCTTCTTCAAAGAAGCAGAGTTTTTTCGAGCTGCCTCTCAGATGTGGAGGTGGCTCTTTACGGGCGGCGGGGCTGGCGGTCATAAAAGACCGTCTGGCGACGACAGCGACCGGAACCGGAAGCCAGTCCCAATTTCTTTTCAATTGAACTAATCGATTCCAAATCACATTCCTTTTGTGAATCTAATTCCAAAACAACATGTCTCTTAATATTTTGCACAGCCATTATCATTGTATCAAACTTTTTGAAGAAGCTTTCAGCTAGAAATTGCATGTTACCAAATAATCTTTTCAGCCAGCTCTGTTTGTTTGTAATCCGATCCATTGTTACTCTGTGTAAATTAGTCAGGAAACAAAGAATGCTGAAGCAAAGTGAAAAAATAAATTAAAGTGATAGGGAGGATATGTTATGGATATGTCAATCCAGAGTTAAAAGAAAAATTAAAAAAAAGAAACTCCAAATATTTTGCATGTTAATAAAGTACAAAAACCCTAAGGTAAAAGTCTAATATTGATCAAATAAAAGCCCTCTCTAAGAGGTTTACAGAGTCAGCATATTGCCCCCAACAATTTGGGTCCTCATTTTACCCGCCTCAGAAGGATGGAAGGCTGAGTCAACCTTGAGTCTGGTGAGATTTGAACTGCCAAATTGCAGGCAGATGGCAGTCAGCAGAAGTAGCCTACAGTACTGTACTCAAATAACTGTGCCTCCGTACTTTTTATATTTCTGTTTTAAAATTTAATAAAATTACTATTAAAAAGAATTTATGAAAGTCCAGTCCTTCCCCTCCAAATATTGATCCCAACCAGGAGAACCAGTTTAATGAAAAGCAGGAAAATAGTAGTGTTCCAATATTTGAGGGGCTGCCACAAGGAAGAGGGGGTTGGCCTATTCTCCAAAGTAACTGAAGGCAGGACAAGAAGCAATGGATGGAAACTAATGAAGGAGAGAACCAACCTAGAACTAAAGAGAAAACTCTTGATGATATGTTTGCAAAATAGTACTATTGTATTTTTCGGAGTATAAGACACACCGGAGTATAAGACGCACCTTAGTTTTTGGGGAGGAAAATAAGAAAAAAGCTGGCAGGTGGATCGGCCTCCCGGAATACCCCCAATCAGCTGTTCCCAGAGGTGAATTTTAGCAACAGGTTCCTTGGTTGTGAGCTCTGTACCTTGTTTTTTGTTTTTTGCTTTTTGCTTTTTTTTCTGCCTCTGAAACTTCTGAAACTCTGTTTCAGAAAAAACTTTTTTTTCTGCCTCTGAAAGCCTCTGAAATAGAGCTTTAGAAAAAAAACTGAAGTTCTGTTTGGGGTTTTTTTTTCTGAAGCTTCGTTTCTGATGCTTTTTTCAGCCTCTGAAACCTCCGTTGGAGAAGCTGGGAGGGACTACATTCGGAGTATAAGACGCACCCAGATTTTTTTGGGGGAAAAATACTTATACTCCAAAAAATATGATATGTGGTATTTAGATTTTCCTGGCCTGGTCTAGCCTGGCTGCTCAGGTTTGGCCTTGAAAGTAAATTGTGTAGACCAACACCAGCTATGTACCAGGATGGACTAATCACTAATGGATCTATTGTCTTAATATTGTCCCACAACAACCTTAACTAGCTGCCAGGTTAGAACATCAGCCCTCGTGATACCACTAGATAATAATCATTCTTCATATGTCTTGTGTTCATTTCAAATGATTATTTTAGAAATCTGATTAGGATAATCTCTTTTATTTTATCATTTTCTAAATTATTTTTCATCTGCTATTAGATGAGATTGTGTGGAGTAACATAAAATGAATAGTGTCCTTTCAACTGCATAAGAGATGAAGATAAAATTTTGGTTTAAGGAAGGAAGGGCAATTTTTATCTATTTCCTTTTTGTCAAAAGGAAGGCAAGGACAAAAGTAATGAATTGAAAGCATTCATCTTACTTCTTCTTTCTTCCTGGCCCATTTTGTGCTTTGCTCTAATGTTTGGTAAACTTTGTGATAATATACAAAGACATAAATAGCTACTAATGAACTAATGAGTTGGAAGGAGGTAAAGTTAACAGCCAACATATTTGGTATCACTTCATTATATTTTTTCATTCCACATATTTGGTATTACTTTATTATATTTTTTCATTCAACATTTCTTAAAGTTATTTGTCAGTTCTGAAGTCTAATTTATATCGTGTTTTTATTTTATCTTTCAGATTATGATACAGATGCAAGGCTTTGGGAGAAAGTATATTAAAGCCTTTTTGAAAGGTTTTTTTGTTGCTGTTCCTGTGACTGTCACTTTCCTCGACAGATTGGCTTGTATAGCGAGAGTAGAAGGGACTTCAATGCAGGTAACTAGGATCTTTTCTGCTGTGTTCATTTTTAAGTACCGGGTTTCCCCGAAAATACAACCTGCCCCCAAAATAAATTCTAGCCTGATTATTTTGGAGTGGGTCTAATATACGTCCTACCCCAAAAATAAGCCCTAGTGAATGGAATGGTCATGGCCAGCACAGGAGACAGCCCTTCCCTTCCCTGTCACCTCAGGGTTGCTCAGCCCCTTAACCGCAGCCCGTGGATCAGCTGATCCAGCGAGGGCCAGACATTCTGTCTCTCCAGGTGCCTGGAGATGTTTCCTTTTTTTTTTTATTTTAAAAACAAACTTTATTCAATATAAGAAGATAAAAATTGTACAAAACATTCTTAACTCTAAAAATGCAATTCTAAATTACATACATACTAAAACTAACAAACAGGATTATCTATCTATAATATTTAAACATGTGAATATATATATACATTAACCTTAATTTCTTAATGACGGTGTATATTTGTTACCTTTAATTTCTTACTATATTTGACTTTACTTTTTTTCCCATTGATTAATCCATTCATACCATCTGTCCCATATTTGGAAATACTGTGAGTCTTCCTTATCGTTTAATTTTAAAGTTAATCTATCCATTTCTGCGCATATAAATATCTTTTGAATTATTTGCTGTTCCGTTGGCAACTGTTCTAATTTCCAGGATTGGGCTAGGGTTAATCTAGCCGCCGTGATTATATGTAACGTGATGTACTTTATTTCCTTTCTACTACTTTTTTTAAGTATACCTAACAAAATTTCAGGTTTTAGGTCAATCTCTTCTTCCGTTATTTCTATTATCCAGGTTCTAATTTTCATCCAAAAATTTTTAATTTTTGGGCAGAGCCACCAGAGATGATAAAAGGTTCCCAGTGTTTCTCTGCATTTCCAACATATCAGGTTTAAATTTGCATACATTTTCCATTGCACTGCTAAGTCACTTCATTATAGATGGGATTTTGTCATCTTCCTGTCAGGGACTGAGCGTGGTTTTTTTTCATGAAATCCTTTAACCACGCCCCCTCTGCTGTCCTTCTCCTCAGTTATTTCGCTCAGTCTACTTGTAGGGACCTGTGAATTTCCTCTGCTTGAGTTTAGTCTTAGTGTTAGGGAATTTAGACTTTATTATTTTTGTTTCACTTCTGGGCGTTTCATTAGTGGAGCAAAAGACTTGCTTTGGGACAGCTTGCGGCTGCGGCTGTCCCTTGTTTCTGGTGGTGAGGGGACTGGTTCTGGGGCTCCAGACCATCGCCTCACTGTCCATATGCAAGCGATTGGAGTCTGACCCGGCTGGGCAGCTCCAAAACGGCCTGTGCCGTTTCTCCTTAGCCGCTGGTGAGCTCGTCAGTTCCAGGTGAGCCTGGTAAACCGCGGCCGCCATTTTACAGCTCCAATTAGAGTAGGGCGGCTCCGGAGTTCCTGGTAGTTTGACTATTCAAACTCCGTGTATTTGCCTCACTGTCACTGCGGGGAAGCAGAATTTCAAACACTCTGCTTTTTTTTCGCTGGAGCTGATCGTCCTGGAGAGGCTGCGAGACGCTGGGTGCTGGTAATAATTTCGCGCCCTTTTCCCCTTGAAATTGATTGACAGTTGAGGTATTGGCGGTGTGAGGAGATTATCAATCTTGACCGCCCTGGCTGCCTGCTAGCTGCGGAGGGGGAAGCAGAGTGACAATAGTGGGAGGACTCCTACTTCTGTTTGAGGTATTCATCTGTGGGTCGTTTGACTTGGGCGGCCATTTTGTGACTTTCTTTTTGGCGCCAAAACTGTTTCTACTTAACTGAAGCCTGCTGCCATCTCAATTTATTTTACTATGGCAGACCAGGAATTCTCATCTGACAATGAGCAACCTCACTCACCGCCTAAGGCAAAAAAGAGTAAAAAATCAAAGTCTAAAGCCCCTGCAGTGTCTGCCAGACAGGATCCTGAGGCTTCTTCATCCAGGCTTCCTCCTTCTGCTGCTATGGACAGAGATGCCATTAGAAGGCATAATGCTTTGGAGAGGCAATGCGAGAGGGCTCAAAAGAAAGTTCAAGCCTCCTTGGTTTCACCTTCTCCTTAGTCTGAGGTGGAGGATGACTTAACTCATATAGATCCGATTCAGCCTCTCTCCACTCTCAGGGTGCTCAGCAAGATGGTCTGGCTGCAGCCCAGAGTATGAGCTTGGGGGTGCAGGCTATGGATATGAACCAACCTGTTAGTTTTCAGTCTATTCTTACCAATGCTCTAGCCCAAGCGTTTGTTTCAAGTTTTAGTCAACAGATGCCTATTGCACCTGCGACTTGCCATCTTCATGCTAACCAGTTGCCCTCTTCTTCTGCTAGCTGCCATTTTCATGCCAACCAGACAGTTCCTGGACCTAGTCAGGCTAGTCAGGCTAGTCAGGCTATCTCGCAGGATCCTCTTGATAGTGAGGAGGCAGAGCGTTTTGAAGGGGAGGTTGAGGAACCAGAGTTTTCAGAAGATGAAGGTGTTGAACCTGATAAGCCTGCATTCACTACCTTATTCCGGCTTGCTGTGTTTAAAACGTTGCTGCGTAAAGCTAAATTGGCAACCAACATGGCCTCTATCTCCAGTTCTCATGCCCAAGACACTGGCAGTCAGAAATCTCATAATGACTTATTTCCTGTTCCTTCCCAGGATCAGGACTTTATTCCCTGTCCAGAGTTATTTTCTGGGGTCATTAAGAAACAATGGGAACACCCGGGGGCCCTTTCTGCCCCCTCTGGGCTCGATAAGAAAATTTATTGTGTAAACCCCTCTCTGGAGAGCCTTTTGGCCCTTCCGTCTGTGGACCCTCCAGTAGTAAATTTATCATCGTCTACTATTTTTTCCTCAGATGTCATGGAGTGCTCCGCTCAGAGGATAGGAAAGCAGAGGCCGCTTTCAGAAAGAGCCACCAGGCAGCTGCCTGGGCTGTAAGGACCGCCACTTCGGCCTCCTTTTTTAATCGGGCGAATCTTGTTTGGCACAAGCAGCTTAGGGACTGCCTTCCCCCGGATGACCTGCGTCTTCAGCAGGACATAAATAAGATGGTGGCTGCAGCCGAATATTCGGCTGATGCCTCTCTGGATGCAGCTAAGTTTGCAGCTAGGTTGATGGCGTCTTCGGTGACATCTCGTAGACTACTATGGCTTCGCCCCTGGCGGGCTGATTTAAAAGCTAAGTGGAAATTGGCATCCTCCCCTTATCAGGGTAATAATTTGTTTGGCTCTGCATTAGACCCCGTTTTAGTTGAGGGTAAAGATAAGAAGAAGGTCCTACTGGTGGCCTATCGTAGGACTGAGCGTCGCTTTATGCCATATTCCCAGAGGCAGCCCTTTCGTCAGGACCCAGGACCCAGTGGGTCCTATGCTTCCAGACCTTACACGCAGGGGTATGACAGACCAGCTGACAGACAGTCTTTTAGGGGCAGAGGCAGGTTCCAGTTTGCCTCTAGATGACCCTTCAGGGGTTCTGGATCCAGGCCTGGAAGGAGAGGCAAATGACTCGCTTCCCCCACCTTCCATTGGCGGACGACTCAGCCACTTTGTCAGTCAGTGGGAGGAATCCACTTCCAAGGATTGGGTCCTTCGGACTGTGAGACTAGGTCTTACCTTGGAATTCAGAACCAGGCCCACCAACCATTTCCTTCCCTGCCCTATTCCTCGTCAGCCAGAGAAACATCAGCAGTTGAGGAAGGAGATCCAACATTTAATAGATATAGGGGGCTATAGAACCTGTTCCTGCAGGGCAAGAAGGGTCGGGGGTGTATTAGGTTCTGTTCCTAGTTCCCAAGGCCTCGGGGGGCTGGAGAGCCATCCTAAATCTCAAATTTGTCAACAAGTTTCTTCTATTCTGAAAGTTCAAAATGCAGTCCCTCAGGACTATTCTGGATTGCGTGCAGAAGAACGACGTGATGACGTCGCTGGACCTCCAGGAAGCTTACCTGCACGTGCCAATCCACCCGGCCCATCGCCGCTTCCTGAGGTTTGCTTATGCGGGAGTACACTACCAATATCGGGCCATGCCATTTGGTCTTTCCTCCGCACCACGAACTTTTACGAAGTTGTTGGCGGTGGTGGCTGCGACCATCCGGCTGGTTCCGATCCGGATTCTCTGTTATCTCGACGATATATTGCTGCTTTCTCAGTCTCCTCAACAGGCTCTGCAGGATCTGAGGACGGTGACCAACATCATCACTCGTCACGGCTTCTCCATAAATCATCGAAAGAGCCACCTTCAGCCTACAACCAGAATTGCTCACCTGGGGGCGCTGATAGATTCGGAGGAGGGACTGGTTTACCTGTCGCCAGAATGGCAAGCCGACATCAGGACCTTAGTTCGACATGTCCTAGATCATCCACAGGTAACATTTCTGACCTTATCGAAGCTGCTCGGGAAATTTATTTCTTGTATCTCAATAGTGCCGTGGGCGCGAAGGCACGGTCGCCAACTCCAGTGGTTCCTCCTGCCAGCGCAGAAGTTGGGCCGGGGCACATCTGCATCCAAGGTGAGACTTCCTCCCAGTGTACGAGCGTCCCTCAGGTGGTGGGACTCAGAGGCGATCAGCAAGGGTTGCTTCTTCCAGGACCCCGACAGGATTGCGGTGACATCAGACGCGAGCCTGTTGGTCTGGGGTGCACACCTGGGGTCAGAGGTTGTCCAGGGTCTGTGGTCTCCCTTAGAAGCCAAGAACAGCATAAATTGGCTAGAGCTTCGAGCTGTACGCCTTGCCTTGAGACACTTCCAGGACATGCTTCTCCACCAGCATGTCCTGGTTCTGACGGACAATACGACCACCAAGGCCCATATCAATCGCAAGGGAGGCACGCGATCCCCCTTTCTAATGACAGAGAGATATGTTGATGACCTGGGCCGAGACTCATGTTCTTTCCCTGAGGGCAGAACACATTTCAGGGGCTGCCAATGTCCGGGCCGACTGGCTCAGCCAGAAGCAAGTAGACCCCTCCGAGTGGAAGCTCCACCCGGACCTGTTCCAGTGC